TCTCTCCCTTGTTAATTTCTCTATTTCTGTTATTTATAGTTGTACATTTAGACAGCCCACTGCTCTTGTGGTTTTTAGTGGGTCACTATGAATGTTAATCATTGAGTGGTTTCAGCCCATCCTGATGTCCTAAGAACTTGAGAGGCTGGTAGGATTGTTGTTGAATGATGGAGCAGTAGCTCCAGTGTCTCCGAGTCACTGCAGATAGAGATTCCAACTTCTCTGCAGCCACGTTTGCCTGAGTTTCCCAATAGAGGCTCTGCGGTGAATGGCTTGAGTTGGCGCTCCTTGCCTCTACGTTGACTGCCCTGTGGTCTCTTCAGACATAATAGAACAGCTTCAGGCAGCCTGGACTATTTTGTCTAAAAGTAAAAAAAAAAAATCTTTCCCCCCTTTTAGTTAGGAGTATTAATATAAAGTAAGAACAAAGCCTTGGTGGTTCAGTGGTTAAAGGATTATGCAATTAACCAAGAGGTCAGTGATTTGAATCCACCAGTTGCTCTTTTGGTAGGAAGTTAGTCAACTTCTGTAAAGATTTTCAGTCTGGGTAGTTCTGCTCTGCACTGCAGCATCTTTGCGAGTCGGAATTAACCGAGTAGGGGCAGCAGTGAGTTTATAACAAGAAAAATTTAGTAGACAGATGTAATAAATAGGTAGAAATGTAGCCATAAAATTTAAAAAACCCTTTATAACATTGCAAAGCATTTTCTTTCCAGCCATTTAGAGGTAACTATTACCTTGAGTTTTATGATAATCACTTGATAAATTTCTTTTTCAAGCAAATCTTTCCTAACAGTCATAGTGGAAGAAGAATCCAGAAACAATCTGTGTTTATTTTTATAAAATGACCCCAAACTACAGTGCATTGTCTCTATCATAATTAATAGATTGCTTTAAAAGTTTAATGAAACCAGGGAGCTCTGGTGGCATAGTGGCAAGACGCTGCACTGCAATCCCAGAGGTATGCGGTTCAAATCCACCAGATGCTCTGCTGGAGAAGGAGGGGGCAGTCTCCTCCTGTACCAGTCAGATCTGATTTGACGGTACACGTAAAATAATACAATAAAAAAAAAAGTTTAATGAAACCACCGTGGCCTCATGAGACTCCTGGTGCTGAATCTTTTCAATCCACGAAGATGATAAAATTTCCTTTTCTGTTCTCTCTCGGACCCTCACTTCCATCACGACAATGAAAAGGAGAAACAATGGTCATGCCAAAAAGGGTCGTGGCCACATGCTGCATATTCGCTGCACGAACTGTGCTTGCTACGTGCCCAAAGACAAGACAATTAAGAAGTTCGTAATTCAGGGGGGCTCTGGTGGCCTAGTGGCAAGAAGCTTCACTGCAATCCCAGAGGCGCATGGTTCGAATCCACCAGATGCTCTGCCGGGAAAGGAGGAACAATCTCCTCCTGTACCAGTCAGATCTGATTTGACGGTACACAGACACACAAAATAATGTAAAATTTTTTTTAAAAAAAAGTTCGTAATTCAAAAGATAGTAGAGGCAGCTGCCGTCAGGGACATTTCGGAAGCGAGTGTTTTTGATGCATATGTGTTTCCAAAGCTCTATGTGAAACTGCACTAATGTGTGAGTTGTGCCATTCACAGCAAGGTGGTGAGGAAATATTCTCGTGAAGCCCAAAAGGAACGGACACCTCCAACTAGATTTAGACCTGTAGGTGCTGCCCCACGACCACCACCAAAATCTCCTTTTCTAGAAACATTTTTCCCTGCTGCTAAGTTGAATGCTCTTTTGCATTTGCACCCTGCACTTTTTTTTAAAAAGTTTTTTTTTCCCTTCTGTGTACTGTCAAATCAGATCTGACTGATACAAGAGGAGATTGCCCCTCCTTCAGCAGAGCATCTGGTGGATTCGAGCCACGCACCTCTGGGATTGTAGTGCAGCTTCTTGCCACCAGAATTTGCCAGCATCCTGCACTTTTGATGGCCTCATCTAATGTGATTGTGATGATTCTCTGGTAATTAGCAGTTCTTGAGTACCACACAAATGTACTTGTTCTATGCCGTCCAGTAGCTTGCAACTCATAGCGACCCTATGTACAAGAGCCCTAAACCCTGCTCTATCCTTTGCCAACCTCAGTGTCTGACACACCTACCCCCATTACCCCAAACACTGAATCTATCCATCTCATTGAGGGTCTTCCTCTCCTGTGCTGTCCCTCCACTCTGCCAAACGATGTCCCTCTCCAAGGACTGGTCCCTCCTTGCAACATGCCCAAAGTATGTCAGACGATGCTTCAGAATCCTTGCCTCCAAGGAGCAGCCAGGTTTCTCCTTTTCAAGGACAAACCTGTTTGTTCTCCTAGCAGTCTATGGTATAGTCAACTCCAGCACCACAGCTCAAAGGCATCAATTCTCTTTCTATCATTCCTAGTCATTGTCCAGCTCTCTGATGCATAGCATGCAGTTACAAAGACTATGGCCTGGACCAGGTGCACCTTAGTCTCCAGCCTGACATCACTGCTCTTCAGTACTCTGGAGAGGTCCCTGACAGCTGACTTTTCCAATGCAATTCATCTCTTGATTTCCCGGGTGCTGGTACCAAGAATGTTAATTGTGCAGCCAAGCAAACAAACTGTTGCTATCTCTCTCTCTTCATCATCTATAATGATGCTGCCAATTGGCCCAGTGGTGAGAATCTTTGTTTTATTGATGTTGAGTTTCAATCTATATTGAAGGCTACAGTCCTTGACCTTCTGCAGCAAGCCCTTCAGGTCTTCCTCAGTTTCAGCAAGCAGGGTTGTGTCATCCGCATAATAGAGGTTGTTGAATCTTTCTTCATTCCTGATGCCACATACCTCCTCGTACAGCCCAGCATCCTGGATGATCTGTTCTGCATACAGATTGAAAAGGTATGGAGACAAAATACAGCCCTGGTGGACAGCCTTCCCAATTTTGAACCATGCAGTGTTTCCTTGCTCTGTTCTAACGACTGCCTCCTGGTTCAAGAATAGGTTTCGCATTAGCACAATCAAATGTTCTTGAATTCCCATTTTTCTCAGAGTCAGCCACAGTTGGTTGTGAACCACAGTCAAAAGCCTTTGCATAGTCAATGAAACACAGATGGATACTCTTCTGGTATTCAAATATAGTAGGAGTACTGAAAATAACATGGCATTCTAAATTGTCCCAGACATTGCAGGATGGTTCATATTTCTCATTCATAAAGGACTGGATCTGTAGAGCACCGTAACACACCCAGGCACCCCAGTTGTAGAGCTCATGTTTTCTTCAGAGGTATGATGGGGAAAGGGATAGCAGTAGAAATGGTTAGGGGGTTTAGAAATCTGTAAGAGGTGCTATGATCTTGGTTTGTATATAATTGAATGATGCTGCCTAATGTTAAGAGAGGTCTGGTGGCCTAATGGAAAGAATTTACACTGAAATCCTGAAGGTTTGTGGTTCGAGTCCACCAGCTTCTCTGAGAGAGAAAGATGGGCAGCCTCTTCTCATGTGATTAATTGACTCTGAAAACCTGCTGGAGGGTCAGCTATGGGCTGGCTCCAATTCCATGGTACACAGTAACAATGTTAAGATATGCCTTG